TTCGGTAAGAACATTTTATCAGAGGTAACAATATTCACAATGGGTTAGTTGCGTATCCTTTACAGGACGTTGCAGAACCAACCTCAACATCCCCTGCCTGTTGTGTGGTTTTTCTAGGCAAATTTACGTCCAGTAGTTTGCCATTGCTTCTGGACGGTCGGCTTTCTTGATACCACTGTCGAAACCAACGTAAGGCGCAAGGCCCGCAGCTGGGACTAAGCCACAGAGCCGACATATTCACAATAGCAGCGGTAATTTCCACATAACAAATATCACGTTCAACCTTCAGGGTTATATAATTAGGAGACTCACAATCGACTCTAATTACGTTGCAGAAGGATTAAATTTACTTGGATCTTATGCTTAAGTCAACTGTTGGGAGCCTTGCATCCATCGAGAGAAATATGTTCGCAAGATAGCTGGCCACTAACAGAAGTAGAGAAAAGAAGCAGTCCCAAACTTTTTATAAGCAACATCTCTAGGCCGAAAGGTTGTGATATCCATAATATAGAGCCTAAGGGTTAACAACTCATGGCTTCTGGATACTAAATCCACGTCCGGCTGTATATGCATATTTGCAGTTGTGCGGTCTCTGTTAATTTTTCTAAATTGGCTTTTGCATCGCGGACACTGGCTGTAAACTCTTGCGGAAACTTCTGGTTGCTCATCTTATTCTGGGCTTTAGTCTTGTTCCAGACAGTTTTGAACGAGATCCGGTATCTATATGGGGATTTTTGTGTTTGATATGTGTATGTTGCTCAACAATTTGCATTTATATGGTCTTTTTAAATTTGCTTTAATTGCCTTTAAAATAATATACCATTCATGATACTTATACGCGTTGTTGCATGCAGTAATTAGAAATATGTGTAATGTATTTTTAAACAGTTACCAAAAAATTCGCAACGATAAGGAATTGATTTCATCCAACAAGATGAAACTGGAAAAATTTGTTTGTGCTGTATTTACCTTGAGGATAAATATTTAGTCGTGCTATAAGTGCTGTTGTTATTCTGTTTCGTTCTTTTTAGGATGAAATTTTTTGTTATTTGAAGCCCACCCTGGCTTTTGACAGGACCGCAATATAGGTAGGCCATAAATATGGCCAATTGTCTGAACGTGGTTTCTGGGACCTCTCCACGGCGATCCTCATCCACATGGTAGCACTTTGTGTCATTGGGTGTTTATCGCTTGTTTGATGTCCTGGTGCGGTAGAAAGTCAGTCAGTCAAGTACTGTTAAGAAAACTACTCTGGGTGAAAAAAGTATTGCACATATCAATTTCATACTGATTGTGCTTGTTTACTAATTAAAGGGGATTCTGGTCACTCCAGTGGTGCGTCGGGTAGAAATCGCCAGACTGTTCTTTTCTTTTAACCCACCCCAAACAATGGAACATTGGGAAACCCATCAAACGTAACAACAAGAAACAAAACAAAAACGCTCGAGATCAAGTCGGCCATCTCATACTAATTGCATGAGATGTTTGAGAAAGGCTGTGAATAAAACTAGAAGAGATCGAATGAGAAACGATGAGATCAAAAGAACTGTTGGAACAACACCCATTGTCAAATTTATTGACAAACAAAGAATGAAATGCTTATGCGATCTAATGAAAATGAAAGCATTGATGCCAGCAGCAAGAGCGTACAACCTGAAAATCGAAACACCAAGAGGCAGGGGAAGACCGAAAAGAAAATGGATTGAAGGAGTCACTGACACCTTGAAACTGCAAAACATCACGGCATATCAAGCGGATCAGCGCGCCCTGGCTCGGCTGCCGATCGTCTGATGTGTGTGTGTGTGTGTCCCCCCTCCCTCCATTATTCTCAGTGTTTCTTTCTTTCGTTGTCATCACTGTGCATATTTGGGAGCGGCTCGTCTTATTTGTTATTCGCCATGAATATCCGTTACCTGTCCGCAATGGTGCATGACGAGCAGAGCAGCTTTCGTTGCTTTACTGCAGCAGCATGGCATCTTGCATTCTTGCATTCCCGCTTAGGGAGAGAACGTTGCTGCACGGCTCGCGTCTGTGGGTTAAACCAAAGAACTGACTTGACTTGACTTTCTACCCCACTAGGACATCACACAAGCAATAAACACCCGATGACACAAAGTGCCACCATGCGGATGAGGATCGCCGTGGAGAGGTCCCAGAAACCGCGTTCAGACACTTGGCCATATTTATGGCCTGCCTATATTGCGGCCCCTGGCAAAAGCCAGGGTGGGGCTTCAAATAACAAAAAATTTCGCCCTAAAAAGGACGAAACTGGATGATACCAGCGATTAGCAATTAACCAAAGAACTGACAGACTAGTGTTTTTATAGACCAGGAACCACTCGACAGGTGATATGGTTAGCATTACGGACACCGGCCGCTTTTATTTCCAATGCCATTGTCTTGACCAATTTTAGATTTGTTTTTTCATTTTTTTAACGGATCAACATCAATGCACAAGGGTGCCCCGTTCTACTCCTATCTCATCTAACGTCTATCAGTTTTAGGTGGGTCGACTTAGAAGTCAGGTGTCTCTTCTTTTTCTTCTGCGTTCGACATCAGTCATGCTACACACTGAGTCCCGTCTGGGTCAAAAATAGGATTGTGCGTTTAAGGTCGCCACCGGTCCCCCATAACTTCTCTCGCAATGTGGATCCCCTGGGCCAGATCCACAGTATTTGCTGGGAGAGGTAAGGGCAGTACTGCAGTATGGGCTCAGGGGTCTGTCTTTCTGCTCCACAATCACAGGCAGCAGATTCTTTTATGCCTATCCTGTACAGGTGTGCTCGAAGACCACAGTGTCCAGTCCGAAGTCTAAAAATTGATGTTTGTTCTTTCCTGTTGAGTTTGTTTATGCTGTCACTCTCTGGTCTGTAATCTCTATTCTGCTTTCTCCACTCCCGATTGAAAGACTGCTTTAGTGCTGTTTTGGTTTCCTTGTAGCTGTGTGGTGGATGAGGTTGTGGAAGATTACTCCCAGCTTTCGCTAACTCATCTGCTCTCTCATTTCCTTGAATACCACAGTGGGCTAGTATCCACTGCAAGACCAGTTCTGCTTAATTTGAGAGTAAGCCAATGTTAGTCCTTAGATCTGCAATTAGTTTGTCTGGTTTTTTGCTTGATAGTGCTTGGAGAACAGACAATGAGTCACTAAGTATAACAATTTTGTGCCCTCTGTGTTCTTGAGTGATGAGATGTTGGACTGCAGAAAGGAGGGCAGTTGCCTCAGCTCTGAAGTTAGTGCAGATGTCACCTGCTAGTAGAGAGAGAGAGTTTCTGCTCTACTGCTAAGGGGTTTAATGTATATTCCACAACTCTCCTTTCTGACTGCATCTATAGCAGAGCCGTCGGTGAAAACCTGAGTTCAGGTGTATTAAAAATATTCGCACCTAATTCTTTAAGTGCCCAACAATAGGTCTGGTTACTGAATTCAGTCCAGTGCATTTGGCTTTTCTCAAAATCATTCGTCTTAATTGTTTTTTTTTTCTTAAACATTCTCGATTCCCCAGTCCACACCCACCCCTTTCCCAATTCAGTGTCTTTTTGAAGATTATCTGTCTGCTTCAATCCTTCTGGATATTACTGATTTTAATACACACACACACTCACACAAAAGAAGTGGGAAACAGGACAATGAACGATCCCGCAGGGGGGCGTAACTCGTGTAACATAAAAAGTAAACATTCGGTTTTGCCCAGGGATGCCAGTGCTGGGTTTTTTCCCCAAGATCTTGGTTTTTTTTAGTTGCCGTCTTGGTTTCTTGGTTTTTATTTTGAAAATTATTGAAAATCTTGGGTTTTCAGTCTTAATGATGAAAAAAAACTACAATTAATAAATATTCTAACCAGAATAATGTGTGTACACATTTCTATAATAGTTTTACCCGCAAATTATATTTTGGAATGTCCTACAAACACTTAAAATAAACTCAGTGTAATTAATGTAAAATAATACAAAGGTTGACTCCAGGGCTATTCAGGAAAAATGTAGCAGACCATCAAAGAACCAGATTTACGATCCCCAAGTAATGTCCCTTAAGAAACAGATACTAGGGGCGGAGAAGCAAAATAGATGAAGCCTGGGACTTTTGCTCGTAAACTTCACAGAAGAAAGAAGGGACCTGACATTTAATTATTGAAGAAAGTTTGGGAGGCTTTTCCTCTCTTCTAGGGGGCTATTGACTAGGTTTTTGTTGTTGTTGCTGTGTCGTGGTTTGTTGAACTGTGCTATCAAAATTTACTCTGATTATAACCTTGTTGAATTCAAAATGAGTGAATAGATTACACCATCGACGAAAAGAAAATGGTATGCTCAGTGTTTCAAAGAGGAATGGCAGTATTGGTACCAATTGAGAAGCATAAAAGATGGCTTAAAATGTAAAATATGACATTTTATCCGCTTTTATGACCAACCTGACTATTTTGCCTCACTCGTCAGCAGCGGTTGAGCGCATATTTTCCCTGAGAACACTGTATCAAAACTAAACAAACGAATTCTCTGAAAGCTGACACCGTAAAAGATCGAATTCTTGCAAGGCAAGCAATCACAACAGGAAATAGCGACTGCACGTCATGGACACCTAATAAATAATATAGAATTGCAAAAAGAATTGCAAAGTGGCGCAGTTAGTCAAAGATTTGTAAACAAAATGAAAACACAGAAAGAGACGGTGACAATTGAAATTGGTGAAGAAGGAGAGCTGTTAGAGTAACAGTTTTATAAAGGTGAGTATATGTTCAGTTTCATAACTATAAAATACTTTTTGCACAATGCTGGGTTTTTTAATTTTATTTTTTGTTCATATCTTGGGTTTTCGTCAGCCCCATCTGGGTTTTTGACAAAAATCTCATTGGCAGCCCTGTATTGCCGTGCAAGTTCGATCTCTCATCGATGTTTAACCATTGTTGAAGTTTTTTTTTTTTTTTTTTAAATTGCACTGTTGTTACCGTATCTGTTATCAATCAGTTAATTTTATGTAAAATACATTTTTCAAACACACCATAATGACCTTGGTTATACGAAACATGCAAAGGACCGTAAAATTAAACATAAGACAACTTCGAGTAGATGTGGGCTTGTTGCTGAAGTTATGTGATCTCCAGTCTCACGACCTAGGTCTGCTGCTGGTCTCTGACTACAAGATCAGACGGTTGAACTCTGAATACAGACAGGTTAATGAAGTTACTGACGTGCTAGCTTTCCCTTGTCATGAGGTAAAGATGATAAAAAAAAATTTTTTTAATGTAATTATTTTGTAACGGACGCAAGCTGGCCTGCATCGTGGCATTCTCTTTCGAAGCCGAACCGCGATCCTAAAAATCTTTTCGTCCCCAGGGTGTTTATCGTTTGTGTGGTGTCCTGGTGTGGTATAACTTACCTACCTACCAACCGCGACCCTAGGGGGATGCAATCTACATGTTTACCATGACCATAAGGGAGACAATTTATGGCTTGTGTGCATTCACATAATGTTCTGTAATGTTAAATATTGGTTAGGGGGCTATCCTCCGAATAATGGTCATAAATTATCGAGGCCTGAATATACCCTAACAGGGCCTCAGTCAAATGTCAGTTGCTGACTTCCAGGTACTATACCGCCACCGCCGAGAGTATCTCCCACGCCGCTACGTGTGGATTGGGGCTAAACTAGATGGCTGGGACTTACGAGCAAATAAAATGAAAGAAGCTGCAGGAGATGCAGTAGCTGCTGCTCGTGAGTCCCAGCCATCTAGTTTAGCCACAATCTATGCCGCACCTAGCGGCGTGGGAGATACTCTCGGCGGTGACGGAAGTTGCCGGAAGTGCGCAATTTAAGTAGCCGGAAGTCCTCAATTGACATGTGACTGAGGCCTCGATAATTTGGGACCGTTATTCAGAGGATAGCCAGTTAGAGTTAGGGCTAACCTTAACCCATACCCTAACCTCAAACAATATTAAATATGGAAGAATAATATTATTATGGGAACTTACACAAAAAATGGATTACATCCCCTATGATCAGCAGTTAAAGTAATGTCTAGGTACACTAGTCTCCCCTAGGGTTGCCGTTGTAGGAGTGCCTATGTATTTAATGTGTCGTCCCCATGTGGATGTGATTTTTCGTTATTCTGAAGACCCATTCTGGCTTTTGCCGGGGGCCCTAATATAACCTAACAGTTAAACGGGGTTTCCAGGCCCTCCCCACGAGTTATCCTTATCTTCACAGTGGCACTTTGTGTCACAGTGTGTTTATCGCTCTGTGTGATTTCCTGGTGGGGTACAACTTAATACTGTGAGTGCCTATGTTTTCATTCCAAATGTTTTTTTTTTCCAGTTTCCACAGCTTTGCTGTAGTTGCCAACCCTATGCACTTAAACAGCACTTTCAGGTTGCAGTCTCAGAAAAAGTTGGTTGGGGTGGGATAAAGCTACAAGTAAAATTATTTATTTTATGTATGTACACATCCCCCCCCCCCTTTTCCACCCCCATCCAGTTTTGTACTGTATTTTATATCTTTTATTTCTTTTGATGTTCTTTAAACTTGTACAACTGAAGCCATATTACACATTTTGAGATAGTAATTCTCATCCCAAAATGATGTAATGTATTCTGTGTCATTGAAATACATCCTAATCTATTGACTGTTGTCTCTATCATCATAGATATCACCGGAAAATGCAGGACATCTTCCAGATGTAGAAGACGAGGACAAAATGTTAGGAGATATTGTATTGGGGATCTCTTACATTCACCAGCAGTCGAAGAAGCATTCAGAACACTTTGAAAGTGTTCTTCTGGTAAATACAACGTTATCGTATTGTTGGGTTTGGTAACATCATTTTACATCATCGGCATCATGTACCTTGCCAGATGGCTCAAGTATTCATATGGCTTTTTCTTCATGGCATTGATCAGCTGTAAACTGGTGGTAAATCCGGGTTGTTCGTCCACATCTGAACTATGCCTCTTTCCTGGACTGGAGTTTTACAGGCACTTCTGTTTGCAGATCTGGCTTATTTATGTGCATATTGTTGGTTCCTCAGGTCTCTGGCAGATGCACTTCAACTTCGAAGGAAGCATCAGTCCTATCTATGAAGGCCAAGGATGACCACTGAGAGGTGTAGATAGCTCTTGACCTGAAAAGGTCAAGTTGTCCTTGTACACCGTCACTGAAGGTTGAGCATTTCTGCATCCCCTATCACTGCTTATAGCAGAAGCAGTACATAAGCGCTCCGCTCCACCTTTTTTTTAAAACAAAAATATTCTTTGTTATTATGATTTAACTCTTCCAGTAGCACATAACTCACTATGTTTCTTGGTTATTTCAAAAAGAAATAAGATGCTTGTTGTGTTTTTCTATCACAGACACTGGTTACCATTTACCCTATATATCAAAAAAAAAAAAAAATTTTAAATAACTATTTATGTTGCATCATGTCTCTGTTGAACTCCTTCAGAGCCAAGTATTTATTGCTTTTAACTCTTTGCATTACAAACATCATACTGTGTTTGATCAGTTAATGTGTGTCAAAAAACAAACAGTATGTCATGGTATATTTTACATTTGGTCTTAGTATCATAAAGAAATCTGGCCAGATATGCTGACATACATCATTGTGTATGTCATTTCTTTGAAAGTAACAGACTCATAGTTTTTTTTATTGTTGCTGTTTGGGTGTCTAAAGCAACATTTGCTGTGGCTGAAAGAGTTAAACTCATCTTCTTGGAATAGAAGAAGTTGGAATAATAACTGCCTGGTACTAAATGAGTTAAGCCATAATGAATCACATTATTTCACCAGCTGACACTTCCACGATAATAAAATATGATTGTTCTTTACCTAAAAACTAAATTTTACTACTTGATACGTGCATATTGATAAGTATTTAATTATCACATCTAATCTACAAAATGTATTTCATCACTTGCTGTATGTATAATGTGTCACTTTAAACAATGAACATACAAAGAGTATATTGTATTTTATTTTCAGGCTGTTCTACATAATTTACATTGATAAATTTCAGAGAAATGAATCCTTTTGACTGAAGTTTTGTTACACTGTTCTTGCAACAAATGCTCGTTTTTTTCTTTTAACACTACACTAATCTCTAATTACACTGCATTTAACATATACACAAGTCTGTCTTTACATGTTCACAATCCATCATTACTCAATTTCACAAACATACATGTCTATGTACACAAATCAATCATTGCGCTAGGTTTTACAAATACACAAGTCTTGTTTTACACTGTAATTCACCAGCTGACACACATCTAATGATAAATGTGTTGTTTCTCATCTTCTGCAGACCATGGTGACCCATGGGATCTGTCACCTTGTGGGCTACGACCATGACACACGGCAGCAGTGGGAACAGATGTACAAAAGGGAGCTAGACATTTTAGAGAAATTTAACAAACAAACAGGATATAAGTGCTCTCCTCTACTGGGCGTGGGCCATTATACAGAGACATGATGTCTAGTTCAGGCTCCTGGGGGGGGGGGGGGGGGGGGGGGTTACAGGAGGTAATTCACACAGAAACTGTTGAGGTCATCAAAGCCATACATTAACTTGTATCACAAGTCACTTCAGGTGGCAGAGCAAGAAACACTGGAAGCCATGTCAGATAGCTGGGAGAATGAAGCCTTCAAAATGAAGATGAACTCAGTCCCAACCAACACATGTTATGTGATCAGCCCTCTGTTTGTATCCCACCCATTGTATTCTCATACTCTCATACTTGCTCATACATGAGGTCAGGAACATACTCATGGAATCTGCCTTCCCCAGTGATCACTTGCAATGTATGTTTAACCTCTTTGAAAAGACTGTACAGAAATGAGATTCTTGGCTGTCATTAAAAACCAGTATTCTCATGAAACGTGAGTATCCCCCCCCCCACCCCCCCCCCCCCCCCCCCCCCCCCCCCCAAAAAAAAAAACAGAATACTCAGGGGTGATTACATGAATAAGTAAAGTATCATTTACGCCTGTGGCCATCACTCATCCTACACAACCGCTTTCTCCGCTCCATTGTGAAACTTGCCCTTATCTGATGTACACATTCCTGTGCATCACAGTCCACATACCACATCTGCTGCTCAGATTCATTATTCCTTAAATCTTCTTCTGCCTGTAAGACAGTCTCCCCCACTCTAACAAAAAGAAGGGCCACTAACAATCTAAATGTGTCCCATATGTCAGTTGCCAATGAAAGACCTACCGACCTACCAGAGATTATCATGGTTGTTGCCATTTACGAAACAGTCATATCCACCCCTGATTGCCCCCTGTGATCTGGAGTGCTTCATGGATTTCAGCCCAGCAGGTTTACATCAAGCTTTTTTGATGTTACTCAATCATGCACACTGTCTTAGCCCATCAAGGATTAGTATTTATCAATGAGTAGTACATTATAAAATGCCTGCAATATTTATTGTATGTAAGTATATTTTCTGTATAAAATGTTATGCTCAGTAATCATAATCAGTGGCTTAGCAAAGATGGCTTCTGATTAAAACATTTAACTAACATTTCTAATTTGCTTGGAAAATTACCTGCTTTCAGTCATACTTTACAACTAATTTCACATTTTTAGAGTCACAGAAAGTCATCGAGTCAACACAATTAATTATTGTGAAATTAAAAATGGGGGTTATAGTTAATTTGTAATGATCATCATCATGTAGCAGGTCCTTTGCAGAACGTGGCTCTCATCACAGTCTGCCTGTAAGAAACTGGGTCTCTCGCCAGTTCTCCCACCTCATGAACTTTCACACTCAAGGAGTCACTTATATTCTGTGCCCATCTTCGTGTCGGTCGGCCCCTGCCCTCCTTCCTGGTACCATGCCTTCTGCTATAATTTTGTCCAATCCGTCGTGGCGCTTGATATGACCAAAATATTTCAGCTTTTGAGAAAGGATGCTGTTTATTAGCCAATCTTCCTTGATGTTCAGGTCTTTTAAGATGTCAATATTTCTCATCTTCTTTGTCCAAGATATTCTGAGAATCTTTCTATAGCATTTCAGCTCAAAAGCCCCTATTCTCTTTCTTAAGGACTGAGAGTATTTGTAATGATACAGTAAGAAAATTAGAGACAGGTGTAACAATGTGCACTTTAGACTCTCATTTGTTCCCTTAGATGTGATCTAAAATTCAAACTAGAGTGTGTCTTGCTAGAAGTCAAGCTTTTAAATCAGCAGTCACGTCTGATAGGTTACCTGAATGAAAATCCTTGTTCAGGTAACAACGGGTATGATGACTTCATTTTTAAGATGGATGCAGATTTTAGTCTAGGAAAAGAAATTATACTTTCTTGGAGATTTCAACAACAGCAGCAATAAAGCCAGTTAGATTTGGGCTGATATTATTCTGTCATGGAACTTTAAACAATTAGTTAACCTTCGCCTGAGAGTTAAAGAAACATTTTTAGATAGAATTGATCACACATGTGTCTGTTGTCCAATAAATCTTATTGAATATTCTTTGCCTGTTAGTGCAGTCAGTGTCCCTTGCTCAGAATGTTGTAAGTTAGTTGCACATCCTTTACAGGATTTTATGGCCATTGTTGTTTCACTAGGCGATTTTATGTTCAGTGTTTTGCCATTGTATTCTTATCAGAATGTTGTGCATGGTCAACAGTTTTGTTGAGAGCTCCTGAAGGTATGCATCTCATAATTAAATTTAGAAATTGTAAAACTTGTTATCCAGACTTACTTTTACTTGATTTACAAAACTCACAGCTAGATCTTCTTTGTCAACTTCCTAAACTTGATTATCCTATAGCCTACTGGACAAAAACTGTCTACAGTGTGTTTGATAAAGATATAAAAGTAAAGTAAAGATCCCTTTACACGCCCTTAGGTGCATCTGGCATATGGGATTGATAAAGATGTGCTTATTAAAAAAGTTAAGAGTAAGACACTTTAACTACCATGAATCACTAGTGAAGTTCTAGATATTTTGAGAGAATGAGTTACCAATGTGTAAGTGTGATGTATGAATATATGTAGAAGCACAAGTGTGGGTATGTATGTGTGTCAGTGTATGTATGTATGAGTGTCAGTGTGAGTATGTATATATGAGTGTGTTGGTATGCATAAGATAGTGTGTATGAATGTGAGTGTCGAGGAGTGAAACCCCTATAAAATGATGGAGTGTTTCTGTCGGTGGGGGCAGAAATAAACATTCTAACCTGCACAGTCCATGGGGACAGCACTGGCCATGCGATCCTGAGTTCTCAGGCTCATACCCTTCTATTTACACTGCCCTAAGAGTGGTAAATAGTGTCTGTGGCTTAGGCATTGCCAACTTGCTTTGTAATGCCAGGGTGCTGGTTCGATCTCAGCTGTGGATAATTTCTCTTGCGTTGGTTTTGACATTGGTACCAAGAACTGACCATTCTGTAAGCAAAAGCAAACTACTTAAGGCACAATTTGCCTAGAAAAACCACAATTGCCCAAAAAATGCTGGGGTTGGCAATGTCCTGTAAAGGATACAAAACTAACGTTTTAAAAGTGGTAAGTACAGAAATTAATGAGGTTTTTTTTTTAAGCGCAACCATCAAAGCAAAAGCCCAGAACCAACCCAAACAACCAAAAGAGGAAAAGAATCATAGAAAATGCCTTGGAACCTGGTGCAAAAAAATTAAATAGTGGCAACACATACAGCCTAGAAAAACCTTTAACCTGCTGGAGAAAAACAACACAATGAGGTCGACAACTAACCAGCTGTTTAAAATCATCCAAATCGAAATTGGTGAAGTTTGGTTGTCCAAACTTGACAGGGAAAAAATAATGTCCAAACTTTCAGCAAAACTAGGAACAAGAACTAGAGACTGTTAAAACACTGTCTCTCTTAAAAGAATCAGCTCAGAAAATGGGACTAGTTATCAACCAAGATAAGACAGAATACGTGATAATAACTAGACATGGAAAGAATTTAAACTCAAGCCACATACAAGTCGATAATATGAAAATAAAACAAACGAAAATATATAAGTACTTGGGTGCAAACTTTAACTGCTTAAACATGCTGAGAAAATAAAAGCAATCTAGAATACAATTTGGAAATACGGAAAACTATGCTCTTTAACATCTGCTAAAGTCACAGCCTTTATCTCGCAACACCAAGATCAAAATATATAAAGCGTTGATAAGACCAATTGTTTTATATGGCTCTGAAACTTGGAGCACAACTAAAAGAGATGAAGCCTTATTACAGGTTTTAGAAAACAGTCTTATGACGAATATTTGGACCTATCAGAGATGCAAACAGTGGGGGAATGGAGAGGGAAAAGCAACAATGAAATTCATATTCTGTTTAAATCACCATTGATCACTGGCATCACGAGAGCTAATAGACTGAAATTGTTGGGGCATATTGAGAGAATGTCAGATGATAGAGAAGTGAAAACTGTATACACAAGGGAGATGAATGGTCGTAGACCACGAGGCAGACCAAGAAGAAAATGGAGAGATAATGTCCAGACAGACAGGCAAACACTTGGTGTCACCAGCTGGAAAGAAGCCAACCAGAGAGATGAATGGAGGCGGGTGATAACTTCAGCAGTGAACCTCCTGAGCTCAGAATGCTGAAAAAAAAGAAACAAGAGCTATAGCCAGGATATAAAGGGTTCGCTGCATTCCTGAATAAAACACGAACTGGCAGACTTGAACAGAGGAGAAGCGATAGAGCTTCTGCATGGTACGAAATCTGATTTCCAAAAAGCTAAAACATCTAGAAGATAGCAGTAAAGAAAATACCCCAACCCCCCTCTCCCCCCCCCCCCCCCCCCCCCCCCCCCCCCCGAATATTATCTGAAAACCTAAAAAAAAAAAAACCACATTATAATCTTTCACACAGAAAGTGTGAAAAAATAAAATTATGACTAGACCTTTATCATCAAGATAGAATGCACAAAGGAAGCAGTACCTACACAGTGCAGTTCCAATGAAGGCTTAAAATTTGCGAGAGACTCATCCCTCTTGTGATGCATTGTGCCAAATGTCAAAAGCTAGGGCACACCAAAAGCAGTTTGTAGGGAAGAACAACCCACTTGTTGGTACTGCAGCCAACATCACAGGTACCAAGAATGTAGTAAAGAGTAGAGAAACAAAAACTACAAAGATCTAAACACCAAAAGATGGTGCGCTAATTGCACTTATACCACACTGTGAGTAAGAAAGGCTGCCTATCCCTCAAACAAATGCACTTGGCCTGGTAAGGTGAAATCCTAACCAATACTCTGGTGAGCACTACCAAACGGAAACAAGCTAACCCAAAAAATCTCGAGAAAACAGAAACGAGAAACTGAACGCCAGACTAGCTTACATGAATACCATAGAATCCACAACAAAATCAGACTTTGTAGAAACAAAAGAGCTACAAGACAACAGTAACAACAAAAAGCACCAAAAGCTGTCAAAACAGTAGGAATCGAAGTTTTAAAAAAAATGGCAAAAGAAAGAACGTCCT